CTTTGCATTGGGTGGTAATTAATAATCGATCAATATGAAGCAGAATGCACTTCAAAAATAAATGCTACGCATATGTTTTTTCAATAACATTCCTTTACACAAATTATCATACCCAAATTTCACCAACATTCACATCATTTTGAATGGTATCAGAAGATTTTTTGTTATAAAGTTGTATTTAAAATACATAATAATATATCCATCTTATATGTAAATTTAATTTTACCTCATGACCCATGTATACCCATTATTTTTATATATATACAATCTTTTATATATTACTTGTAATATTCAATTCTGCTTTTTCTTCTGTCATCTCTGAAATAATACCATCACGAAAAAATAAATCCCGAAATACACATGCAAAAATGAACACGATTATATGTGAAATTGAGCTACCAGGGCCAGCTTTATTGATAGAAAAACAAGATCCAAGAAAAAATAAAAACAAATTATAAACGAAGTACAAAGTTTACAGTTGTACTATTTTCTTTCTGTCTTTCTGATGTAGTCATCAACATATGATGTAGCAGGGGTATATTTACAATTAATATATTTCGTAAAAGTAAAAGGTTCCCACAAATTTTGCTACGATATTTTCATCCATTTCAGCAAATTCTATATGATATCTATTAACACTAACCTTATCCTCAGGTTAGTGTTGGTCGCCAAAACTATTTTGAAGAGATGAAAGTCAAAACTAAAATTAAAAGTTATATGTCAAAACTAAATCAAAAGTCAATAGTCAAATATCAAAACTAGTTTTGACTTATGGCAAAACCTTTTGACTCTCACACGATTGCGAAACTCTCTAGTTTTGGAAACCAACACTAGTTCAAGTGTAATATATTTCCTGCTATTTGCACTCCCACTATCCTGAATTGACCTTTATCTGGATTGAGAGTTTTCCGGGTCCAGTAAAACCCATCATTAACCTCTCTCCATAGCTTAACATTATCATCTATCTTTTTCTGTTCAGTACAAAATAATCATGAGCATTCGGTGTACATAAGTTCAAAGAACACGTCCAAATATTTCTCCACAAGCATGATATCTGGATGTCTTCACATTTTCCCATCTCCTTCCCTATCTGCACCGGAAATGCTCTGTCTTTCTGAGGTACTGATAAACGATGCTACTAGAGATGTACCATTCATAGTAACCCTGATCTTTTTTTCACGCATAGTGCACATAATGCATATAGTGTGTATTATCCCTTAAACGGTTTTTCGGCTATTGATAGCCAAAATTTTTTTTCTGTTATAAAAAACTTTTTGTGAAGGTATCACTTCCTAATACGAAAATGATCTTTGAGATTCAGCTGTTTGATATGTGAAAAAAATTCGGTTATTGTCCTTGTGGTTTTCGTAAAATCTTAAAAGTTGGTCGATTGACTATTTTTACTTGCAGATCGTTAAATTGGCCAATAAGAATGCAAGATCGTGATCAAAAAATCATTTCGCGTTACCATTAAAGAATACTTTGACCGTTTAAGAGATAGTAATAGTAATAGTACACAGAGAATTGTCATGAATGCGCAATAATGTTGGCCTTTAAAAAAATCAAATAGCATATTTATATATATATTCTTTAACTAGAAATATTTATTAATTAATGCCTACAAAAACTTAACTAAAAATACTTCGTCCTAACAATTTGTCTGAATTGGCAATTATTGTAAACCTTTTGCAAATGTATTAATACGGAGAAACTTGTACATGCATGCTATGTAGTACAACATGAGAACTATGCGCGCACTGTGCACTCAAAAATTCTCATGCACATCTCTAGAAGCCACACTAAAAGGAAGATTTTTTAATACTGCTCGATTGGTTAACAGTAAACTGGTAAGTTCCCTCATTTAATGACTTAGATACTTCAGGATCAAGAGCTGGATTGTTCTAAATATCTTCCAGAGCGTTAAAAATTTCTTTTACAACATCCACAATTTTTTCTTCGGATTCTTTCCACGTTCCATCATGAATCAACTTTTCCGGAAATCTATTCAAATAATTACGACTAGAAAAATTTGATACAAATTCTCTGCAAATTTCTTTAACTATTGGTACAAGTGTAGGTTTCATCAATCGAGCTGGTTTCTATAAAAATCATTAAAATGAATAAAATACACCACATAATATAATTTTATATAATATCTTTACGGAAAATTAGATTCACGTGAAAAATATTTACACGATAATTGCTTTTTTAAAATTCGGAGGTAATTGTTGTACAATTTTTGACTCGTCATTAATAACTTGGCTAGCCAAGGGATCCTTCCAAGTTTAATTCATGGATAGAGATCTTATTAACATCAGAGTATAAACGCAGATATAGTGGGGAAGTATCATTTCCAAGTTTCCTTTTCAAGGCATTTACATTATTTTAATCTGATTTGAACAATTAAAGTTCGTTTATATTCATTAGGCAGTTGTAATAACTTGTTATGAGGCTCCTTATGCATATTCATTTCATCATTTGAAATTAAATTTAACTAATTTTTAATCACTAAAAAATAATAAATAATTTAGAAAAAAAATTTTTATTTTTAAAATTACAAATTTACCAAAAATTTCATAAAAGTAAGGTCCAAATCTTCATTTATGATCTCATCAGAAATTAGTGATAAATCAATAATTTTTGAAGAACGTATTGAATCAGGTCCTGTCAACTCACTATCATAATCAATAATAGTTTGTCGTTTTCCGAGATGTGTTATTAGTAGTAGTAAGAGTACCTATACCACTAGAATTATTAATGGATTGTTCGTAGGCAGTCAACCAAAAGTTTGGATCAAAGACTTTACTAAAATGTGAAGTAGTCGCACGTCTATCACCATCAACTAATTCTTCTTGATCATTATTATTTTGGTAATTATGATTATCTTTATCAGTAACTAGTTGATATTTCTTCATCGTGAAAAATCAGACTATCTCATCACACAGAAAATTTATTAATTATGTATGCGTAATTTCCCAATTTATTCTTGTTATCAGTTGATCGAATGTCTACAGCACACAAATGATTTTGATCTGAAAAAATTTTCGTACACAGCCCAAATACCGTACGACATACTACTGATTATCTGATTGATTATGCGGAAGGATTATCAAACTTGAATTCTAATAGAAACGATATGTAGAAGACACACTACTATTTCAAAACGAGAAGTATTGGTATTATAATTGATAATTACTTTTAATCAGTAGAAAACGTATGTATGAAAATGTTTTATAGCCCAAATAATGCCGAGGCATTCTAATTCTGTTGCTGCATATTTATTTTCTGCCGGTCTGAGTCGCCTAATAGCATATGCAATCACCCTTTCATTTCCTTTATTATCTAGTTGTGAAAGAATTGCTCCTAAAGCAAATGTAGATGCATCTGTAGATAAGATGAATGGTTGCTTCCAGTTTGGATATACTAATATAGGCTCGGTGGTGAGTTGTTCTATTAAGTCTTCAAAAGCTCTTTGTTGTCTATTCGTCCAATTGAACTCTTCTCCTTTCTTTAATAGTTCCGTTAAAGGTGAAGATCTCTTTGCAAATCCT